TTAAACGTTATATATCGTTCGTTTTTCAATAACCACACAACTTCTCTCTTTTTTTATCATTCGTTTTTCAATGTTTTTTTTTGAAACTATCGTTTTTCAATGTTTATAATACAGTATTGTTTCTTTGTTATTAATTTTTGCATGCACAATTATTGGGCATGAGCCTGCGGCCCAAACGGTCTACGACCCAAACGGTATGCGGCCCGTGAACAGTGGAAGCCCAACTCAAACAGTAACCGCGGTCTGGTAAAACCTAGGTCAGATTCAGTAACTACAGTTGATAAAACCTAGGATGTACCCTCAACCTTTTACTATAAATAGATGTACAATGTGATATGACCATTCATCTTCCATTCCTCTGAAAGAGAGTACAAGGGACCTAGAGCATCACCGTTCAGGTCTCTAACTCCGACAGAGAACTCGCCGGGAGGTCACCACCGACCGGAAAACATCGAAATATTTACATATCTTTATTAGTTCGCAACGATTTGCGTAGCTCGGGATCTGTCCGGTCTACTACGCTCTCTTTGATTTACATCAATCCGATTGACCGGGATCTGTCCGGACTATCTACTGCGGTCTACTTTGTAACACTTATTCCGAGCTCGAATTCTAATACACGAAACTCTCCGACTTCCTTCCTATTATAAATTCATTGTTGAGTCTTTTGGGTTAAACAACAATGAAGTAAAAGAAAACATTAATGGGAGGTTATGATGATGATATACTATAAGATTAAAATTTTGAAATGTTCGTAGAGTAGAGCGTGAGTGCCCCAAGATGTTCCTATAAATTGGATAATTGAGCATCACATTTGCCATGATTTTGCGGGAACGGAAATCATGACATGATTTTGCGGGAACGGATCAGAAACAGAAATTAATAAAATCAATTGTCCCATTTTAGTCTCATTTCCAATATAGGATGGGACCAATATGGATTGGAACGAACGGAACGAATTTTCTGCGATTAAAACCATGTGTTAAAAAAATCGAGTATATAGAAGAAGACTAAACAAATAAATTTACTTATGAACGAACAAAACACATCAATCATAAGAAACAAAATTTGATGTCACATTAATCATAATATTATCTTCACAAAAATGAAACGTAACATACAAAAGGCTCGCGTAAAATAACAAGGTGGTGTATAATAAAATCTTTCCAATGTGTAATGATCCGTTTTATAATAGTTCGTATTATATAATTACTATCACCACATCAAAACTTCATGGGAAGGTATTGAAATTCGTAGAGTTGTAGAAGATATATATAATGAATTGAGATATATTATAATATTGTTAAGGAAAAACAAAGGAAGAAAAGAAAGACATAGATTGTATGATATGATAAAATAGTGTCTCCGATCAAATATCATTTAGGACACTTTGGAGATGTTCATAGAGATGCCATTGGGGAAGAGAGCACCTGGTACCCGAATCACCTCGCAGTCTTTGGACAGTGAAAAACTGTAAGTGGTGACAAGATGATGAAGGAATATTGAAATCTGAAGCCTCGCAAACTCTGAACCAGCGCATTGTCTGATTCCAGCTCCAAACACCATGAACGTTTTAGACCCAGACCGCAACTCTTTCCCCTGTCCATCATAAAATACTATTTTCTTAGAATTTTTACTGTTAATTTACTTTAAAAAAACAAAACATAAAATATGGTAATTTTGGGATTCTAAAAATATATATAGATTAGGGTAAGTGTATAAAACCTCCCATCTCCATGGATTAAATTCAAAAGGGTTTTCATATATTTCAGGATCAAAATGAACGACTGAAGGTATAACCATCACTATCCAACCGGCTGGAATAGTGTATCCTGTAACAAATATCCCACAAAAATGTCAATTTTTTTTATAAAATATATAATTTTGATGTACCACATCATGATTACTACTACTTGCCTTTGATTTCCACATCCTTCACGGCTTTTCTAAACATCATAGGAGCCAAGTTTGTCAATCGAAGGGACTCATTGATGACCTAGAGAGTGTAAATAAAATTTAGGCGCACCATATATGTGAATCTGATAACAATAGACGAAAGCAAAAGTGAAGTTACCATGTTGGTAAAAGTCATCTTGTGTCTGTATTCTTCCCAAGTAACTCCACCTTCTTTGTCTTTTCTGCTTGCAAGAATCGCCTCATGTTCTCTCTGCCAAAACAGATTGCATATTGGCCAATTGAGTGGAAACAATCTCTGTGCTAATTTAATAGGACCATGACTACTGGACTATAATCACTTAGTTAGATGCAAAATTTACTAGCTTCTCGTCGTTCTCGATCCACAGGCATATATATATATTTTACCTTCAACTCTGCGAGAACTTTTGGGTTTTCCGATACGAATTTCACAGCCATGCAAGTGGCCTTAGAGGTGGTATCTTGAGTAATACATAAAAGAGTGAAGATGAGACTAACAATCACATCATCGTTCACTAAGCTTCCATCTTTCTCTATCTCTTCTATTGCCGTGTTTAAGAAGTCATCGTACTTCTCTCTCGACGTTTTCCTCGTCATGTATATATCCTTCATCAACTGCATCCCCTCTTTGCATACCTACATATAATAATAGAAAATTAGAAATCATGGGTTCGTGTTTAATTAGTTTATTACACTCCCC